CACTGGAGTAACTTCGATATCCATGCGAAAAGAGGCTACTCACATCCCCTCTTGTTATGTTGATTTTGGTGCTAAAGTTGCGTTTAAAGGCGTGAATAAACTCCTAACAGTTTACGTAGCACCATCAAGGCTTGGAAGAAACCCAATATTTCACTGAAAAGTGCAGCTGCTTGAGCCGACGTCAACACTCCTGCAGAGGAGCAGCCCTGATAAGCGCACACGGGCTTAGCGAGATGATGTGGCCAGGAAATTGAGACACTTTGATTTTCCTCTTTGCAACAACAAAAGCTGGCCTTCATTCTGTGAAATGGATGGTATCCTTTTGCATTTCCATTACGCAGAGGCCGCCGACCATGGTCAGCACTCAAACTACGATGAAGGCCTCCAGGGTGAAACACACGTAACTTCACTTTGGCTGCACCGTGTACTGCTCCATACTCTAAATTTTTCGGGCACTACCTCGCCAACATTGACCGAGGACACCGACCTATCTGAGCCCCTTTGTGTACATTTTTCCTGGTGCATTGCTGATTCCTCCTATCTTTATGTTGAAGCTGGTGGTGTGATATACTGGCCCTTCATATGCCTGGACAATTACTAAAAGCATATCTAGAGATTAAGGTGCACTGCAGACACGAGCACGCTATTGCTAGTGCATACCCTTCACAAGGCAGCGGGACATCCAGAACTATCGACCACAAACCCTACACTCTAAGGCTCCTAGGATCTGCCACTGGCAACGGCAGCTGCTGCTGGGTCTCTTTCTAGTATAGAACCTCCAACTTTCAATGTTCCCGGAATTCCCACCTTTCCATTGTATCCCGCAACCTACACTTTGACACTGATGAGCGGCCATAAGGGCACCTCAAATTTTTAAAGAGTACGAAAGTTTTCTGGAGGCGTTATACCTTTAGGGGCAGGATCTTTTCGCAGAATGCTGCATTCCTCTTGTGACGCAGTGCCCCCTTGTGACGGAAACTGTCTACGTTGGGCACAGTCAGACCTCTTAATAATCACCTTGGGTACAGTAGGGAAGTGTAACTGATGTCCGCCACGTGCTCTTAGGAGTAGCATCATGAAGCTCTTTCACAGTGATAGTAAACTGGTCGCACATCACCTGTGGCTGTTTTGTACATGACCTGTTCCAGGCTCAGTAGCTGGCGTCACGTGGTTGCCTCACAGGAAGTTCTCATCAAAACTAAGCGGCCCTGCCCCATTTTTTCACATACTTTTACAGCATATTGTGCTGCACGACTGAAGAGAGCATGTATCCCGGAACTTGGTTTAGTTCAGGGGCTTGCATGCGAATGAACCGGCAGTCACACTGGGTGACTGGAGGGGAGCGGCCACTGCCTAGTAAGGTGACCACGCCGCCACAGTATAACAAGGCCTTGTGTCGCTCATCACAAGCATGCTATCTCATGATCAGCCACAGCTCGACTAAATGGGCACTGGCGCAGCGTAGGTTGTCGAGCTCCGGATATCCCGGTGTACTGTACCCACTCTGCAAAGGATTTTGTGCCGGGTGGAAGGTTGGCTTATCTTGCTGCATGCCGTGGCACTCCCATGCACGTAAGGTGATGTTGAAAGGGTGTTAACACTTTACAAACACACTCACGAAGTTAAGGCTTGCTTGGCCACTACACTGCATTACAGACACGACTGACGCTGCGCTGGTCCTGGTCGCTAGGTCTTCTGCTAGCCTTCAGCACGAAAAAAAAACCGAGGATTCCGCATTATACACTGAGCTCCATCCTGCTAGGGAAGACTAGGCCGGGCAAGACCGAAAATGTCCCTAAATGGTTGTTCTTTTACTGCAGGCAGCTCACTGTGTAGATTTTTGCCTGCATAATTATGAAACCCACGGCATCCACAACTCTAAAATAGTATATTAAATATTAAAAGTGCTGTTTGCGTGGCTCAATTGAGAGTTCTGGAGGAAGACACATTTATTTAAGCTCTGGTGGCAGGAAGGGCCCCTTCCCGGCAATCGCAAGGTGAAAGCTCCCAGAGATAGATTGCTGCATGCCCTTTAGAAGCTTCATTTTGTCGTCAGTACTATGGCAATTATTTTTTCTATAGGTGTTTTGATCTTCTATGCGTCAAGGCAGAGCCCGATACTTCTCAGTGCGCCTCCAGTCCCGCGGAGCCCCGCCCAAGCCCGCTCTTTGTTTCCAGGGTAGCTGACGGTAATTAGCTTTGCGGTTAGTTTATATAGACATAGTATATTTATTATCTGTCCTAGTTTTCAGCTGTACCCGCTGGGTAGCAGCGGAAGCGGATTCAACTGGCTTGAAATCAGGGTCGCTACGTGTTTCTTGAACCACCCACCGCAACTGCAAGCACTTCCTTCCCCATCGGCTTTACAGGGCCCCCAATGGGGCTCTGATCCTTCCATTCTTTTTCAGAGGCCATCAAAATGACGGCTGAAGGCGCAGACGGTGCGCTGAGGGGCCCGCGGCCACCTCTAGGGGAGGCCCAAGAAGATAGCAGTATGGCAGCCAAAGTGCTGCTCAGGCAGGCAAGCAGCTTATCCTATTTAGGAGATCCCCAGCATGATATGAAGCGACTGAAGGGGCCCATGTAAAGGCAGTTGGGAATCCTGTCACTGGATGTTTCGTGTTTCGTCGGCAGTGGTTCTGTTAACATCCGCACAAACCGAGAAATCCCCAGCAGGCGGCGCTTCTTTTGTGATACTTTCTAAGATATGCATATATTTCACTAAAGGTGAAGGTCATGATGCGTGGCTCCAAGTTTTCGCTCCTGTTTCCCGAATTTGCCGTGTCTGCTGTTGATTTCAGACAGAATACACGGTGGAACTTGCGTGGCGGTCCGATCCTCGCAGCTCACAGCACTTGATGCGTATTTCTGTCTCCCCAGAAGCCACACAAGGGGCTCCAGCGCAGAGGTGGGAAGGAGAGTACACAGAGGCCTTCCTGCAGCGCCTCACAGCCCGTACGGGGTCGCCCATTTCTCCCCAAGCTCTCTGGGAGCTGCTACGGGGAGCCGTGCATGCAGCAGCGGAAGATGCAAACTCAGCAGTAGCAGGAACAAGACATGTGTCGGATCATGCAGCAGCAGCAGGAGCTTATCTCAATCTATGGAGGTTAGCAGTTCCCATCACATGCAGCTGGAGAAACAAGCTTTCCATTCTGAGAAGGCGTTTCAGACCAGTATAAGGGTAGCCGATCTTCCTGCCTTCTTTTTATTTGAAAGCCACTTGTTGCAGCTGCCCGAGTCCTGCTGCTGGCATTCCTACGCCGCTGCACCTTTGGTTTTCGTTGTTGCTGCTGGTGATCGCTTGGCCCCTGCATGTGTCGCCTGCTGCAGTGCAGCAGACCTCGAGGCCCTCAAGCGCAGAGCCGAAGGGCAGGAACCCCTCGAAGAGCCTCACAAGGTGGGCCCAGCAGACCCCAAGTTGTTCTTCATAGTGACGCGCGCTGTCGAGGGCAAGAAGGTGCACTATCCTCTCGCACTCACTAACAAAGCAGCAGCATCACCCCCTCCAGCCCCAGCAGCTGCAGCAGCAGCTCCTCCTACTGCCTCGCCGGCGCACATTCCTGACACTTCCAGAAGCTACACCCGACATGCTGCCTCCATAGGAGCCTCGCAGCAGCAGCAGCAGCAGCAGCAGCAGCCAACACCCCGTTCCCCCCTTTCCATAGGCATCCCATGCCGTAGCTATGGGGCGGCGCTGCAGCAACGGGGGGATACAAAGCGGCAGTTGAATCAGCAGCAGCAGCAGCACGTGCTGGCAGCCTCAGCAGCTGCAGCGAGCGACAAGCCCCTGGGGACCCCTGCAATGGGCTCCCCGATAGCTGTAGGGAGGATCCGTCAGCAGCAGCAGCAGCAGTTCCCCTGCGAGGACCAACCAAGTCCTGTGCAACCTCACTACATTAAGGGTCAGGCTGCAGCAGCAAGCGAAGCTGCTGCAGCATTGACAGCAGGAGCAACAGCTGCAGCACCAGCAGCAGCACGCGGCCTCCCTGTGGAAGCTGAAGATGCAGCAACAGAGCTGGCCTGCCTCAGGGCCCTCGTCGCAGAACAGCAGGCAGCCCTGGCGGAGGCGAGAAGGCAAAACGTACGCTGGCAGAAGCAGGCAGTGCCTCTTTGCATGTTTGCCAGTAGTATTCAATGGCATCTTTTAGTTGCCTTACAAGCAATTGGGCGCCAGAAGCAGTTTGTGAGTGTTGCAGCACCAGGTACTGCTTCTGCTGTTGCTGCTGCTGTTGCTGCATGCGAACAGGAGCTGCAGGCGCCTTCCTTTCGAGACGCCTACGCAGACTCCCAAGGGCTCACAGCGCAGCTGCACAGAGTGGAGGTGAGGCCTGGGGTCACTCCTGTTTCCCTTTTGGGGCTGTTTCCTTCATAACAAAATCCAGCAAGAGCTGCTCGAGTTCAGATAGAAACGGGCCCCGCGTTCATAGCAAAGACTGCTGCTGCTTCTTGTTGCTGCGCACCCATTGACGGCTGGCAGGGCTCTTGGGATGACTTTGGAGCTGCCAGAGGCCCCAGGAATAGAAATAAGGCCCTCACTTTTGTCGAAAAGGACCTTGTGCTTGTGTTGCTTCAGAGTGAGCTATTCATGGCGAGACAGAGGCTGCAGGCAGAGAGGCAACTGCGGGCGAAGGAGATGCACAGATTTAGAACTGAAATCGATAAGATGAGGAGGGTGGAAACTGCACTCAAGTTGAGAGTAAGCGCTTTCTGGCTCGCAGCCAAGGCGCGCACACAGACACCCACGCATACGCCCACATACATGAAATTTATTTATACACTAAACGTGCATATGTTTTCATGAACTTGCCTGCAAGCCTGCGTCCTTGTTCGCATGCGCGCACGCTTGCATGCATGGATAACTGTTCGCTGCGGGGCATTTCACAATTCTGCTCCTTGCGAAGGTTGCTGGATGGAGCACCTCCGCCAGGCTCTGCTGAGGCTCACTTAGACTGCAGTAGACAGCAGCAGACTGCAGCAAGCACTGTGACTAGGGGTTTATGGTTTACTTTCCTGGTTTGCAGTTGGGGTTTCCCTGTCGTGCAGGTTCGAGAATTAGAGGCTCAACTGCGTTCAAACAGCTGCCGCCTTCGAAGGTAAGAAGTTCCCAGCAGCCGGCATTGGCAAGCCAAAACACAGGGCTACAGGGCTACAGATTTAGTGCTCTGGCTGTTTGCTGTAGGTCGGCGGCTTCCTCTGGTGCTCTCTCTCCCGCTTTGCGTTCTGCGTCTTCTCGCTGTTCCTCCTACGACGCCGTCGCCGCCGAGAGGGGCAGCCGTCTTGCGGGGAAACCACTTAAAGAGCCAATTCGGGGAAGGCCTACGGCCCCTGTGCCGTGTGGAAGAGCAGCGGGGCCACCGCTGTATTCCCAGGCCCCCACTGACAGGCACGGGGGCCTTCAGCGAGCCCCGTCAGCCTCTCCCACGCGCAGCCGGCCCCTGCCTTCGCGCCAGGGGGCCCTTAGAAGGGGACGCTCATACTCTCCGTACCTCGTCTGCCACTCCCCGCGGTAAGAAATTAATACATTAGTGTCATCACTGTGCCTCACTTGGGCTGAGCTCTTAGGATTCCAGAGCCCTTGCCTTCTCCCATATAGCCCGCCATGCGTCGAAGCTCCGCTGCAGAACTCGCGTGAGAACTGTTTGGATATGTAGAGGAAGCTGCTGCTGATAAGGAAAATGCTGCACCCTGTTGTCGAGTGACTGCTGCAGGTCGCGCCTTGGGAGTTTGCCACAGCAAGAGGGCCCCTCTCAGCCTGTAGGGGGGGACCATATTGGCCGATCTGGGTCGGCTTTAGGAGTTTCTGCATCTTTGCTGGCCTCTACAGCCTCGTCTCGGGCACGGCAGCGGTCGATTTCTGTCGGCTCAGCATGCAGCAGCAATCAGAGCAGCTTCTGCAGCAGGCACAGCCCGCGCTTCCCCACGAATTTCGGCTGCGCCGCCAGTGCGCAGCTGATAGCTCGCAGCAACTTTCCAGCCCCCAGGGTCCCTCACACGCACTCAAGGCAGCAGCAGTCACCCAGAAAGCTTCCAACGGACTCGAGGTTCCCCCACACGGTGGCTGCTGGCAGTTATGCGCCTACGAAGCAACACAGTGCCGCTGCTGCTGCGTAAGCTTTACGTTGCTGCTGCTGTGTGTGGCGCGAAGTGCAGCGGCGTTTGCAAAAGCTTACTTCGTGTGTCCTTAGAAGTGACACTGTTTCCTGCAGGTGCTGCCACAGATCGTTGGCAAGGGACACAGCAAAGTGCTCGCTGCATAGTACAACGGGCCCGCCCCCGCCGGCCGAAGGAACTCTTCCAAGGTATGGCAGCAGCTGCCACATGCGAAGCCTTGTTGGGCAAGACACAGCCCGCAGCTTGGTTTCCCCAGGCGCCCCGGGGTCCGTAAGACCAACAGCTGCATGCATGAGACACAGAAGTCCGTTTGCAGCTGAGGCGAAGTGTGACGAAGATGCATTGCTGCCGCCTTTTGGCTCTCAGCATTGCCAACAAATGCCAGACCGCACCCAGCATATTGCACAGCAGCAGCAGCAGCAGCAACAGCAGCAGCCATTCGTCGTGTTATCAGCAGTGGAGTATGAGCGGCTAAAGCGCCAGGGATCAGCCGAGAATCTGAAGGAAAAGTTGGTGAGTCAGGCAAGTGCATGTTTGTCTTCCGCCTCTTCTGCATGCGGAGATAGCCTGCGGCCGCTGGAACGGCCCGAGCCCCCTCCTGTTCCTGGGGATATTGAAAGCAGCACAACTAGCTCCAGAAGAGCCTTCTGTAGCAAGGCAGTAGATAACAGCCTTCGTATAAACCCTGAGGACCCCGGCGGGCCCCTTGAGGAGAATTCCGCGTTGACAGCCGCGAGTTCAAACGACGCGACATCAGCGGAAATGCCGCAAGTGGCCGATGAGCCATCTCTTCCGTCCTTGCTGCGGCTTCCCTTAAGTAAACAAGCGGCCAACACTGGCCTGTTTGCACACCACATGCTTTCTTCTGCTGAAGCTGCTGCTGAAGCAACGGCCACAAGCACGAACCACAAGGGGTCTATTTCGCAGCCTAGCACAAGGCCCACTGTCACTGAAAAGGGAGGCACGCCCGCAACTGTGTCAGCAGGCCGCGCTGTGTTCTCTGAAATTGACGAACGGCTTACAGCGCTGCAGCGCTTTTTACGTTCTACCCGCGAGAGTTTTCGCCTCATGGAGACGAGCACTCTCGGACCCTGATTATCATTTTATAATTAGGCTTGCACTTTCCTGATCGATGTTTACACTGCGTGAACTGGAGTTTCAGTTGTTTCATGACACGCTGTGCAGCTCTAACCCGCTACCCACGTTACCCAAGCCAGGTGCAAGATTGATTCAAGAAGAACAAAATGTAAACTTATTACCAAAGCATTTTATAGTGAGCTGCAAGTGCGGACCCCTTGCCTGCAGTGAAGGATATCAAATTGTAGTTACGGCCGTGAAGCCGCAGCAACGTTTGAACTCCGCGGCAGAGACAAACCGCTCTGCTGCAAGTTCCTTGGGTTCGCTATTGCCTCTGGAGTGTTTTTCGTCAGCGTATTAGTTTCACCTTAGCCTCCGGCTCTGCGAAGCTGGCCAATGAGCCTGCCACGTTATTCGTTGATAACTGCGAGCCTCAGTGAAGGACACGGATACAAGCTATCAAAGTTTCACAGATGCTTCTACAAGCGCCAAGTTCGATTGTTTCCTGACTCTACGAGCCAACAGCTGCCGCTGTGTGGCGATGGTACAAAGTCTACCCGCTTCACTTCAAGCATTTCAAGTGGTATGAGGCGCCTGAATGGCGGTAGGCATGCAAAAAGGCTGCGGATTCTATGTGCCAACATCCATAGCCTGGGAATTATTTATAACAATTCATCGGCAGCGGGCGCACCAACTGAGGGCACCAATTATGCACAACAGGGTCTTAAACACGGCATTTTGTGTCCCACACCAAATCTCGATATCGGGTATAGATGGTGTCCAGTCAAATATAGGTGCCAGGCGCGTTAATCCAACTCCGAAAGGGAGATTCGTTTCTGGAGTGGCTATACAGACTCTAAATGAGCAAAGAAGCTATATAACTTCATGAATACGTAGACAGGTAACACCTCAGGCGGTATCTACATGATCTAAACGTTAGTCGCTAAACTCTAAACACCAACTCCTTGGATGCAAATCTGAGAGAAGCGACGAAAAGAGGTGCGCGGTTAGACTTTTGTCCACAGCACACCGGGTCATTACTTGTAATCCGAATAGGCGGTAAAGACTCCAGAAGCTTATGGCTCCAAGGGTGGCTAGACTGTGCGAGCTCTGGGACTTGGTCAAATTTTTTTTGCTGGTAGCCACCTTGTAGCTAGGATGAGCTCTCGAAACGCCGAGAGCTCATGTACTGAGCAGTTTATCACTAATTCGGTGCTTAGCAGTATTTTGGCCACAAACTCAGTTATTCGCCTTCTTCAAATGCTTCCGCTGGTCACCTCAACACTACAGTAGTTCTTTGTGGTCTGGTAGACTCTAGATTAGCAGATTAGCCGGTAGATTGGTCTTCTGCACAAACTGGGATTGTAAAATAGCGCGGAGCGACGCATGGCTCATGCTTCAAGCCAGCAGCTCGCCGTGAAAGCACTTGGGAAACTGACGGAAAGCTAGCCCACGAAGTGGGAAATGTGCTTCAGCAATTAGCAATAGATTTATATGCGCAGCCGGCGAGGCCGCACCGGAGATGTCTACGCAGCAAGCACAAGCCAAACCTCAGTAAACCTCCAAGCAAACCAACGAGGCGCTGGGATTCAGTAGCCGCCTTGGCTGCATAGGAAACGGGACCACCTAGCGGCTCTGAGGTGAAGAGCACACCCGCTTACCACATTAGCGTCTTTTCACAATTGTCCGCTGATGTAAAACAGAAAGCTTGAAGGACCGAGGGTTTAGATAGGGCGCTTCTTGTTCGCCACCAACCTCTGAAACGAAACGTTGGAATAACTGCATAAACCTTTATAGGCTTTGTTGTGATTAGTTTCACCAATTTGGGGCTGAATTTAACACGAAAAGGTCCGCAGCTAGTGGCTGCCTTATGGTCGTTGCCGTCTTGCAGTGGATATATTTCACGGATACCAAAGATACAACCTTCCACCGGCATTGTGCTGATCTGTTTTGCCAATTTAGGGCTAGACTGGACACCACAGAGCTGAAGCGCCCACAGTTCTACAGGGCATTCAATGTCGCATCAGGAAATAAGTTAGTGAAATAACTCGGTAGAATGAACAGGAAAAAATGACACGAGAAATGCAGAGTAATCCCTCGGAATGAGGCATCATTGTAGGAAACTGAGTCCATCGCTCATGCTGGCTGGTACCCACTTATATATGTCGTCGCTCCAACTCTGTTGCTACGATCTATATATACTTTCTACTATAAAGATACAAAAAGCATTAAATACAGCATAGGCGCATAGCGAGCACAAATAATAAGGGCTTTTGCAGGCGCTGCTTAGGGCTAGATTCAAAAGCTTTTACTAAGGGGTGCAAGAGAAAGGGGCATTGGACACAATTAAACCAGTTTAGCAAACGGTTGCTCCGCGGCATCGTCTGCCACCAGCTTGCGCCAATTCAAAAGTGCCATAAAAGCATTTAATGCAATGTCTGATGAGGCTCTTTGCTTATGCATATATTGCATGAGGACTGCAGGAATTGCTCGGGAGACAGCATCCGATAGAGGTGTATACAGGTGCCTGCGCAGGCTGTCGTAGCTTCTTCCCTGCACACAGGAAGCGGGAGTCTTATTATGTGCATAATCAATTTGGTAGCCGATCTAGCAAAGTCTATATGTAGAGAGCTTCCTTTACAACAATGAAGTATGAAGGCCTTCAAAAGACAGAGCCTGTGGTGGATTTGACTCACATATCGTGCGTACCTCCACTCATAGACTTTGCGGGTGATGAGATCCACATGCTGGGCACAGTATCTGTCCTTTCACACAGATAAACGCCGCTGAATAGCAATATTCTGGAGCCCTTCAGGATGCACAACTGTTAAATGACTGATAGCTGGCGAAAAGGCTATAAACGTGGTGCAAAACGCTGAAATACCTGTCTCTGCAACAAAACGTGAGAGCCGGGACAGCGAAAAACGATAACTGCTTTCCTCCTACTTTTTTCAAGACTGAGCTACAGGTCCAGGGTATCCGACTGATCAGTGCATAGCTGGGCCCCTCTCTGATGCACAAACCATCCCGAAGTAATTTCTGTGCATTAGCGCGCAAGATTATGAACATATAAGACTTGAGATGGCTCGAGACAGCCGTCGTGACTTTCTTTCAAGAGTGAGCGCCCAAGGTGTCCCTCCGCAGGGGTTTACATAGTCTTTCGGGGCATATCTCCAAACAACTCCCCCTCAAAAATGTTTCCTACCCAACACTGGCTCAGAAAAAAGACCAAATGTTGGATTCGTGAGGCTTTCTCTGTTTCGTTTTCGTATCGCCTGGATTTTTCAGAGTCAGGCCGCGCCCACGAAAACTGGAGCGCCCCGCCCACCCCCGTTCTAGACACCTAGCGTAGTCTCCTCTGGCTGTAATAGTGTGTTCTAAACATTTTCAGGTCTGGGTAAATTAGTTTTAAAGGCTAGGAGTTGGGGCAAACTCGCGCGAGCAACAGAGGCGTGAGGGGGGAGGCCGGGCGAGCCGTGCAGGGATCCGCGCAAGCGACTAAAGCCTAGATGGTTTCAAAGGCCGTAATTTCTCATTTTTTGCAAAGTGTAGCAAATATAGGTGGAAGAGATCGGTGAATGGCGGTGGCGGCGACGGGCGTAGAAGGCCTGCGGCCTTTCGTGCCGTGCTGGGAATCCGCGGGGCGATTCCAGTTTGACGGGAGCAAAAAATAGAGGAAAGGCGGGCGAATAAGTTAAAGAATATAATAGTGAAATGAAAAGGAAGTAATGGGGGAGCGTTTTGGGGAAGAAGGGGGCACGGGGCTCGCGCTGGGTACTACAGAACGCTAATTCCCCACATGAAAGGTGCGGCCCACAAGCAAGACGCACATAAGTTGGGAGGGCTCGTTGGGGAGAACAGTTGTGAGCTGTTGCTACATTTGGCGGTTTCGTTGCTGCGGCAAATTTGTTTTGCGAAGACGAACTTGTGCTTTTAAATCCCTTTCTCCCGTGCGGCTCAGTGGACACGATGAGGCTCGTGCTGGGCGTGGTTGCCCTCTTAGCCACTCTGCAGTGCTGCTGTTCGGGCGCAGATGCAGAAGGCAGCACACTCGTGGACGCCGCAATTAAAAAAGCAGTTCAGGAGTCTGTGGGAGTTCCCGTGAGTGAGTTCTGGAAGGACTTTTACGGGGCGGTCGTGCGTCAGAAGGGCGCGCGGGCTGCGAGGCGGCTGCGCTACCTGGTGAGGCGGGCGTTGCGTGAGGCTCCCAGCGCAACTTAGCGAATTAAATTAATTTTAAAATGCAAATTTAACCCAATTTCCCCCTTTTTTTTGCGCTGCGTGCCCTCCGCAGCTCGCCAGGCTCCTCGGCCGCGACGACGCGCTCGCGCTCGCCCGCTTCCTCATGGACAAACTCAAGGAAGAGGTCTTCCAGAACCGCGTCAACAAAGAAACTTGGGACGAACTCACCATGGAGCTCTACAGTGCCATTCGGGAGTGGTGGCGGGCCACTCCCGAGCACCCGCGGGACGCTGCGGACTTGGGCGCGTGGCAGGCCCTCGTGAACTTGCAAAAAAACAGCCTCGGGCCTTCTCTGCGCGGCAGCTCGCGCCTCAACACTATCAACGAGCTTCTCCTCGAGCCGGATCTCGAGACGCTGCGGGGGTGGGTCAGCGAGTGGCGGGGGGCCGCGGCCGCGGCCCCGGAGGAGAAGCCCGCCGAGCCCGCAGCAGCAGCAGCAGCAGCGGCGGCGGCCCCGGAGAAGCCCAAGGAGGAGTAGGCAGCAGCAGCAGCACACAGGCCCGCTTGTTAATTTGAGGCAAAGCACTGCGCCAGCTGGCCGGCGCAGCTGCGCAGCGGCCGCGCGCCGGGCCCGCCCGGACTTTTCCGCTGCGCAGCTTTGGCTGTATCTGCCGACGCGGCAGCTGCTGCTGCTGCTGCTGCTGCTGCTGCTGAGGGCGCGGGAGCCCCCCTTGTTGCTTTCTGGTCTCAGTTTTTTGCTGGCCTCCGGCCCAGCTCTTCGCCCCTGGCGGCTCCCATGTGCCACTCAGCAGCACTTGCTGCCCGCGCTTTGCCCAGCACTTCCCAAACACTTCAACTCCGCGCCGTGGCAACAATATCTACATTTGAAGCGGCCCTCAAGTTCAAGGCCTGCGCGAAAGGGCTTATTGCCTCACTGCCACACAAACAGCAGTAGCCCCAGCACACTGCGTAGTTCAGGGGCCACAGTAGGGCCCAGCAGCGGCAGGGGAGGCGGGGCTGCTGCTGCAGCAGCAGCGGGAGCGGACCTGTTGCTGCAGCGGCAGCGGAAACGGAGCTGCTGCTGCAGCGGCAGGGTAGCGGAGACCGCTGCAGCAGCTACCCGCCACTGCCCTCTAATTAGTGCAGCTGATTGCAGAGGATTAGAATACCCCGAAAGAGGGTTTCTCGTGCCGGCACTGCAGCCGGAGCTGCAGCGCCGAAGCAGGTCGCAGTGTTGCGCTGGAGCTGAGCGCCGCGCCCTCTGCGAATTTCGAAAATGTAACTCTGCAGTTTAAAAAAGTTCGCCACACTTTTCGGACTCTGCTTTTTGAGACTCTGAAGTATGCGGAGTTAAGGCTGAGAGCTGTGGGACAATGCGAGCGCTCGGCGGGCCGGGATATGTGCAACTTGCAGCATTTGCACTGGACGTGCTGCGGTGGTGGGAGGCACGCAGTGCTTGAGTTTAATTGAAAACCATATTTTTACCATTAAAAATTGCAGTTAAAAGCACTAAAAGAGGTTTTATAGAGCACATGGGAGGATTCTGCCGCGCTGTCGATACACCGTGGACCACTGCTCTTTGCTGTCTGCACGGAGTCAGTTAGTCACTGGGGGTGTGTGGAACTTCCCATTTCGTTTTTCACCGCTTTTTCCCTTCGTTTTCTACATTTTGTGGCAAAATTAATTAAAACTCTTCTTCTCCCTGCAACGCATGCGTGGAATGAGCTGCCTCCGCGCAGTTCTCTTGACCGTGCTCCGCCTCCTCTGTCTGCAGCCCGCGGCGAAACATCGGGTGTCTTTCTGAAAAGAAAGTGTCACAATTAGAGTTTTAACAATCCAGAGCGAGCGAAGAGTGCCTTGTGCGCTCAGAGAGCCGAAGAAGGAGAAGATGCAGCGGCTGCAGGCAATTTCAAATCAAGTAACCCAAGCATTGACGTGAGTCCGGCGAAAGACTGAAACTTCTTGTCCCGAGTTCCTCTTCTTGCGAATAATTAACACTTTTTTGCCTCCAAATTAGTGCACATTTGTCTTCTTTGCATGCATTAAACCAGCAGCAGCAGCAGCAATTCAATTTCGCGTTTCAGCACTTCCCGTTTGCTGCAGCTCCGGCTCGCCAGACGACGTCGTCATTTGCTGCGCTATTCGAACTCCGCTGACGAAGGCGAAGAGGGGCGGTGAGGCTGCTGAAGGCTCCTTTGCTGTTTGCTGCAGTTGCTGCAGCTGCCGCTGTTGCTGCAGTTGCTGCAGTTGCTGCAGACGCGGGTCAAGCAGCAGCAGCAGAACGCTCGCGCCCTGGGCCAAAGACCTTTTTTTTAATAGTTAAGCGCAACTAAGGGGGAAGCAGGGCACATTCTTGGCAGCTTTTTGAATTTTGCAAATTTGCAACTTTTTGAATTTTGCATCTTAGGACTTAAAGATGAATTCCCCGAAAGCCTTTTGAAGGTGCTTTTCGAGGCGCTGCTGAGGCGCACCCAAATTGACCCAAAACTCATCGAAGATGTTTGCATTGGTGAGAAAAGATTTTTGAATTTCAGCAGCAGCAGCAGCAACAGCAGCAGCAGCAGGGCGAGTGCATGCGGCTTCGCTGCGTTCTTCAGCGGCTTTTTGAGTTTAGCAGCAAATAGCACTTTGCTGCGAGTTTCGGGTGTATGTACAGCAGCAGCCTGTTAGCCCCCAGGGCTGCAGCCAGGCGGCGCACTTGGGAAGCCATTTCATTTTCTTTTTTCTTTTTTCTTTTTTCTTTTTTTTTCTTTTTTTTCTTTTCAGGAAATGTTCTGCAGCCAGGAGCTGGGGCTCTGGGGGCTCGCATTGCAGCTTTTCTGGGCGGGCTGCCGCAGAGCACTTCAGTGCAGACAGTCAACAGGCAGTGCAGCAGCGGGCTGCAAGCAGCAGCAGCAATTGCAGGTAACAGCAGCAGCAGCAGCAGCAGCTTAATTGCAGACTAATGCAGCAAATGAGAATCCACGGGGTCCTCCCTGCTGGCCGCTGGGAACCGGGCGTACAGCCACTGCAGCAGCAGCAAAGCCGCAGTTGAGATATTTTCTTTTGCTGCTCAAATGCAGAAAGTCCAGCACCTGCTGCTGCTGCTGCTGAGCACTGCAGCGCAGCGCACTTGTGTCTCTTAGCTGCTCCCCCCCCCCCCAAAAAAAAAAAGAAAAGTTTATTTGTTTTTGCTGCACTTCGCAGGCTCCATTGCATGCGGGAACATCGACATTGGCCTCGCTGGCGGCGTGGAGTCGATGACGCACTTCGAAATGACTTCGGTGTTCAATCCGGAGAAAGTTTCGGAAGAAGTTTTTGCGCACGAGAAGGCCCGCAACTGCTTGCTGCCGATGGGGACGACTTCCGACGTGAGTGCTGCTGGACGTCTCCCTTTCAAAGCCCTGCGACGCAAACTGGGACCTGCTGCTGCTGCTGCTGCTGCTGCTGCTGCTGGTGCTTTGCAGACTCTCGCGCGGCGCTTCGGGATCACAAGAGAAGAACAAGACGCAATTGCTGTTGAGTCCCATTCGAAAGCTTTGGCTGCGCAAAGTTCGGGTCGTTTCGACGAAGAAATTGTGCCGGTGACAATCAAGGTGAAACGCCGCGGTCTTCAGGTGTACATACACCGCAGACCGGAGCGAGCCGCGCGCGTCAGCAGCTTCCGCCAACCACAATTACCAAGTCCGCAGGAAGTGCCGACACAGTTTTAAAGCGCTGGAAACGCATTTTTTGCGCTGCAGAGAAAAGATGCAAGTGGAAACGAAGTTACTGTCACTGTCGACAAAGATGACGGCGTCCGAGCCGGCACGACTCTCGCGGCGCTGCAGCGGCTGCAGCCCGCCTTCGACAAGAGCGGAACCACCACAGCTGGCAAGTCTCTTCAGCGCAGCCAGTTTGCAAAATAGAAAACTAGAGAAGTGGCGCTTGGGATCGCTGCAGTTTTCTTTCGAAAGTTTCCGTTCTGAGGCCTGCGAGCGAGCGCGCGCGCGCCCGGGCGCGGGGTGTACGTACAGGTAACAGCAGCCAAGTCACCGACGGCGCTGCCCTTCTTCTCATGGCCCGCAGATCTGCTGCCATTCGTTTTAATCTTCCCATTTTGGCGCGCTTCGTCTCTTTTGCTGTCGCCGGCGTGGACCCCGAAGTCATGGGTGTCGGGCCCGCCGTGGCCATCCCCCAGGCGCTCAGTGGGCGCCGCTTGCTGCTGCGCTGTAGCCCTCCATAATGGCTGCTGCTGTTGCTGCTGCTGCTGCTGTTGCAGCTGCTGCTGTTGCTGCTGCTGTTGCTGCTGCTGCTGCTCTCTGCACTCTCGGTTTACTTCCGCATCTTGCTGCTCCCCTGTGCTCCTCGTTCGAAGCAGCAGCAGGCTGTGGCCCCCGGTGTTTGCTGCTGCTCTTTCTGCTGCAGAGAAAGCGGGAATTAGCATGGAAGATGTGTCAGTCTTCGAGTTGAATGAAGCTTTTGCTTCCCAAGTGGCATACTGCATTAAAAAGCTAAACATCCCCCGCGACAAACTAAACCCCAATGGTCCGCCCACGCCGACCCCTCCTGCTGCTGCTGCTGCTGCTGCTGCTGCTGCTGCTGCAGCAAATGGGGGAGCTGTGTGCCTTTGCTGCTGCAGGAGGCGCCATTGCCTTGGGCCACCCCCTGGGCTGCACCGGGGCGCGGCAGATTGCAACTTTGCTGCCGGAGCTGCGGCGCAGAAAGGCCCGCTTTGGAGTTGTGTCGATGTGCATTGGGACTGGGATGGGTGCAGCAGCAGTGTTGGAGAACTGCATGCATGCATGCGACTGAGTTGGGGCTTTTTGCAAGTTTGCTGCGTTGCAAAAGACCATTTAACGCAATTTGCGGCACTTCAATGAAAACAGCGGAAGCTGCAGAGTATAATTCAAAAAATAAACTCGGAAAAATAAATTCAAGTTCAGCAAAAGTGCAGAAAAGTGAAAAGATGCATTTTTTGCTTTTTTGAACTTCAGTTTCTCCGCTCAAATGTTGTTTGTCTGTACACCCCAAACCAGAAAAGAAGCCTGTTTGGAGTATTCTTGAAAACGCTAAATAGGGTTTAGGGTTTAGGGTCTGGGGATTATCGCTGGGCGATAATCCCCAGACCGCGAAAAGACCCGCGCGCCGTTCTTTCTGCAAAGCTCTGGGGGTATCCGCGGCTAAAGAGCCCCCCTGTGAGATCTGCAAGTGTTATAATATATTTAAAACATTATATTAATTATAATAATAACAGTTGAACTCGCAGAATCCTGAAAAGCTTGTGAGAGCCAGCTAAGACGCGCCTGCACTGGGCCATTGGCTGGTAAGCCAGGGAAAGGTGCAGCTGCTGCCACTGAGGCTTCGGCTGTGAGGGCAAATGGGCTTTTTTTGATTGAAAACGTCCCAATTAATGTCCACAGCGCACTTTTGTGCTGCTGGGGAAGCCTGGCCAGGCCTCAGACACCACTGGGTGCAGCAGCGCGGGCCAGAAGCAGCAAAAATGCAAAAGTACTTCACAGAGAGATGGTTGCCCCTTAACTATGGAGGGTGCTGCCCACAGCGACGCACGGCAACGGCCAAGAGGCAGCAGCTAAGGGGGAACTTGGGTCCCTGCTGAGCTAAAAAATAGTAATAATAGTATTAATTCCAAATAAAATTAAGGGAGAAACACTGTGGGGGCATTTTTGCAGACTTTCGCCGATTTTCGTGCTGCAGTGACCTGCGGTGGACCCGAGCGTCGCCGCCAGGCTCTCCAAAAGTGGTCACACAGAGTTCGTTTGGGATTACTGAGCAGCATCTTGTGCACCATAGACTTTAGAATTAGTTATAAATTGTAGAAGAAGTATTTTTCTTTTAATTTTAAGAAGATGGTTTCATAACAACAAAGGGGGCGACCCTCCCCCAAGCTCGCGAGCGGTGGCACCCAAAGTCTTCTTTGCAGCAAAATGCAGCAAATTAGTACTGTTATTCATTATGCTGCAGTATTAACAGATTTGCGCAGCCAAACTGGTAGCTCTAGAGTGGCACGCAAGCAAACCTACACAAGCTGCACTGCCCACTACAAGAGAACATGAAAATGGCGTTGGAGGCCACAGAGGCTGGGCTAAATATATTCGTAACTTTGAATATCTATGAATAAAGTTGAAAGATATAATTATGGGACTGAAATGACGGTTTAAGCTTTGCAGCAAAGCCAGTGGCTTTGAGGTGGTACTTGGCACGCGCTCCCGTGCACACTCAGCGACGCTCAGTGGAACTGCTGAGTTTCTTTGGGGGCCCCGAGATCTACTGGCCTTTAATTTAAAATTCTGAGTCATTTAAACGTTTGGCTGAGCCGTTTAAACGTTCAGTTGATGCAAGGGCGCAGCCAGCAGTAGGGATCTTCATAGAAACACAGCTGAACGAAGGGGCTGAACGTATGCACTGCCACACCCGCAACAGGCACCTCAGGTATGCAGCCCTGCGGGCCATAATTCGTTAAAAGAGAAACACAACTCCATATATGCCTTTATTTTTGAATGTTTATCCATCAACTGAAAGAAATGAGTCCGCCCTTCGACTTAATCAAGCAGGCGTGGTGGTCTGGCACCTCCTTGTGGCTCATGCGCAAACGAGGGTAACTCAGTGAAAGATTCGTTGATATTTTATTGCTCTAAATTCTAGATACTTCTTAGTAGAGAGATTGAGATGTTATTTTGGGCTAGGTATTGGGTCGAAAGTGTCATGAGGCACGCGCCCCCTCCGTAGGCTCTCCTCTCACCGAGTAAAAATACCCGTGCGACCCGAGAGTTCACAAAATGGAGGCTTCCTTCTCGATCTTGTTCACATTAATGTCTATGCTTTTTCAATTAATGAAGGGTAGTGTCCCCGTGTTGCGTAGACACGAAGTTCGGGGCTCCCTGTGAGAACTGTTTCTGAACTTAACGGTCACCACCTCTGGAAGCCCATAAAGGGCAAAGAACGACCCATATAACCAAATTAATAGCGGTGCAGTACCACAGGACAAAAGTTTCCACGTGGACTTGTGCTGAGTCACCCTGCAGAAAGGAAGTATCAAAGGACACCAAAACCAATTCAGGGTGCTCACATGCACAGGGCATCTTCAAGGCTTTTACCTATGTTTTATCTTATAGATGAAATAGCGTGTCGTTCGTATGTTGTGGAAGGGAAAAAAATTGGTTGTCAATGATAGGGCTGGCAGGAATAAGCGCTAGTCACAGCCAGTCCCGATATCTGCAGCTGCAGCCTTTTCTCTAGCTTTCACGTGCAGCTTCCTGGCAAGAGATCCTCTATAAATAATACAAAGCCCCATTAACTCCACATATGCATATTTACCATCAGAACGCGCTTCAAATAGCTGCATGCTAGTGGGCAGAAGGGCTGTCAGCTTCTCATGATACATATTCATGAATGCTCTAGGCTAATGATCATTTCAGCTTTATTCAAAGCAGCTGCCCTGCACAGCGCGAGAGGCGAAAAGTCAGAAAAAGTTGATTGTAGCTTCCTGAAGAGCAATCTAATGGGACTTGAATACATTTCAGGTGCCAGTGTTTCAAAAAAGGATCAAGCCATAGGCATTTCCCTCTCGCTCTGCCAGCACTGCGCACAGATATTGAAACAAATAGCTTTCATGGTGCCTTTTAATGGATTTCTATTCACTGCAACTTTCCTCTTGTTTGCCTAATTGCAATTCATAATGGAAAGTACCCTTCCATGTATTCTTGCATGCATCCTTGAGGACCCCACCAAAGGTAGATCTCCAGCCGTTAGGAGCCGAAACATGCAACTTCGTGCAGCAGTCTGAATTGATGCTTCCCCGCACAATTTAAAACTTTTGTTTCTGCAACTTTCTTCAAATGCTGCCGAAGTTTAACACACTCAGGCAAGATAATAGAAGAGTCCTTGAGTGGTGCCCACGCAAAGAACCTGAATGTAGTGATCTATTGAGGCAGTTGAGGACCTTTCAGCAAATGCATATCCTTAAAAGCCAGGGGCAGCTCTCCTGATTTGTAGGCTACATGGCGTTGCTTTTCGAGTTCGGAGTTAGAATATACCTCTCACAACACTTGCGGGACTTTTGCAAAGCTTGCGAATACGTTTTACAACAGCTGCGGGACTTCTGCAATGTTTGCTGCTGCGCAACAGGCTGTGGTGCGCTGGCTCATTTCTTCTCAAGCTTGTTTGCAGAAACAGGAGAATTTGAATTCTCCTTCTTTGAATACATTCAAATACGCATGCAAAAAGGCAATAAACTCATTTAGAATTAAGGCGAATGCAACAGAAATGCTGGAAGTGCCCTTACGTAGACTTTCACGTTCTGTTGCGAACTTCGTCACAGAACTCTGGCAGCTCTTCTGCATGCAACTCGAGACCACATTAAGAGCTTTGTACCGATTTAAAGAGCTCAGAAAAGGCAAAATAAATCTAATGCGGCCTTGAACAAACCTAACATGCATGCACAAAGACAGGCGCAGCAGCGTGCAGAGGAGCTCTTGCGAACATCAGACTTATCCTGCAGGAATGAGGAAGTGTTCATTATTACTAGCTAGTAATAATAAACACTTCAAAAAGTTCATTTCTTTAGAGTGAAACTCAACGGGAATGTTCTGCGCGAGGAGTCTTCTGAACTTGGGGCGAAACTGAAGACAAGGGCTGCTGCACTTGTCCTCAGTTTCTTTACCCACTGCCATCCTGCAGCCACAATTGGCCCTCCAAGCCAAAGGCCATATTGAATTCGCCTCTGTAGTCCACGGCGGCTAGGCTCTTATCTTTCAGAAAAGGCTTTGGCTATTCGCCTTGCCACTTCAGGAAGCTTACCCGTGTGTGCACTCTTGCACGAAAACATGAAAAGGTTTCAGCTCTTATTCATTCTAGACACACTGATGTGCCTCTTTCAGCAGATAAAATGTAGTATAGACATTTGTAGTGTAGTATAGATTTTTGCAGAGCATCTTGTGCGTATGTTACTGCCTAAACTTTACATATGTCACTGCCTAAACTTTTCCGAAGCCCGCTGGAACGCTGCAGTGACTACAGGGAAACCTTCGGCTCCGTTGATGGAGCTCTGCAACAAAACGGATTCGAAAAATCCTAATTGTCAAACAGGTGAAAAGAACATTTATAATAAGGAGGGGAATATCCACTTCTGGGAAAAATACCAGGTAAGCGAGAAACTGTACTGCGCTGGGCATACTTTGACAGGCCCTCATGTGGCGGCCTTTGAGGCGCTGTACCGGTAAATACGCGCAATTCCATTAAGAATTTCGCTTAAAATTAGACTCAGACTTAGAATCTTCCTACAGATGCACAAAGTTTTCTGCATGCAGTCAAGCGACCAACAAGTTCACGGGACTTCTGTCCCGTGAACTTGTTGGTCGCTTGACCGCGCGCCACGTACCTTGCATGTGCGTTGCGAATTTGTCCGCATTATATCTTTCTATTCACAATGAACAATAATAAACAATGAATAGTAATACTAAAAAAAGATGGTATAAAGATAAGTAGAGACCTGCCGCTCGGAAGCGAGGAAGTCAAGTCGCTTAGCATGCATGTCTGGGGCCCTGAGTTTCGGTGGTGGAACTGGGGGGTTTAAAAACTTGAAAGAATCCTGCTCTCTCCATATATAAAGAGGTATTATTTTGGGTGTTCATTTTGCCTCAAATGCTATTTCACGTACAATACTAAACGGCCTCTCTACCACTTGCATTCCTGCTTGCAGTTCATGTTTCAGTCACAACCTCTGGAGCACGGGTTGCTTCAGTGCAATAGTTTCGCACCTCATTCCCTCGACAATTGCAAAAAACCCTATTTTTTCTATTTTTTAATATACAGAAGCCAAACATTGAACACAACCCACTTGTGGCGCTTTCGGCGACACCGCGGGCGCCGCTCTGGCGCGGATCGGATGTCTGCATTCTGCGCCATTTTCCCGAAGTTCTTTGAAAAGCAGATGCAGATCCTGCAGACTGCGCGGCCAAGTGCCAGAATTTCGTCTGATGAGCTCTGTGGGGGCCCCCGAGCGAGCAGAGCACAGGCGACGCGGCTGAGGAAGGCGGGAAGCTCCTGATCTGGCGGAGAGAAAGATGCAGACTGCGCGCGCAGTGGGCTCTGCATTCAGTTTCCGCTGGATTCGAAGTCGCAGCGGACTTGGCCGTGGCGCCGTGTTGCCTGATATCCCGCAGAGCCGCTTCCGCGGGCAAACATGGCAGCAAGAACGGCAGCCGCGCGCCTCCTCTCTTCTGCACAGGCTGAGACATGCCGGTTTTTCTCCCACGAGATCATTTTCCGTGAATAAAAGAGAATTAGGAAGAGTGCAGCAGCCGCCAGAAAGCTCAGCAGCAACGCAACTGCAGCAGCAGCACACGGGGGCGTTCTTCTCAGCGAGCCGAAGTGGCCCTTCGGTGTTCAGCAGCAGCGTCTCGAGACGGCTGCAGGGCTCTTTAGGAATTGGAAATGATGCTGCTGGGTACACCGGGGCCTGGAGGTGCTTCCCGCGTGCTGCAGCGGCAAGCCAGTTCTCGCCTGCGCAGTTCTACTCGACGGGCTCTTCAGTTCCCGACTTCTACTCCATTCTCGGCGTGAAAAGAAATGCCACTCAAGACGAACTCAAGAAAGCATACCGGCAGACGGCGCTCCGGTGGCATCCAGACAGGTAACGCGCAGCCACCGGGTGTGCAGCGCTGTGCAGCTGAGTTGTGCTGTTGCTGCTGCTGCTGCTGCAGTTGTTGAATTCGTGCGATCTCGGACTTTGCAGGAACCCGAACAACAGGGAAGAAGCTGGAAAGCGGTTTCGAGATGCGAGCGAGGCTTACGAAACTTTGTCGGATCCGGCGAAGAGGGCGCAGTATGATGCATCGCTGGAGGGCGCGTCGTTTCGCCGATCTGGCGTCGATCCTGAATACAGCGGGCCCTTTGCTTCGAACGCGCGGGCCAACAGAGGCAAGCCGCCATATATTATCTTTTAATTTCACTTTTGAGGCGCTTTCGCGCGTTTTTTGCGCGAAAAGGCCCCTGTTCAAGTTGCAGAGTCCGCGGGCGGCGCGGCGTGCGATTTCGTGCAGGAAGCGCGTCCTTCGGCAACCTGACGGCCGAGGAAGCTGAACTTTTGTTTCGCAAAGTCTTCGGAGGCATTTCTTTGGAACAAATTCTGCAGCAGGCGCTGAACCAGAAAGCAGCTTTCCGCTGGGGAAACGGACTGCCGTACCAGCGGCACGACGTGTTCGAGCACCGGATGGGCGCGCGCCCCTCGACGAGTTTGCTGGACGATCACGAAATTTACGAACTTTTGCGGGGATTTTCGGGCAAGTTTGCGAAATAAAAGGGTATTTCGGACGGAAATGCCTTTCTTTTATTGCAGTGCAGTCTACGGGCCTTGCTTGCAGCTCTCCCCCAGTCGGAAGCCCCGCGCTGCATGCGCTGTCCTCAGGAAGAGAACCCGAAGCCGCCACGCAAGTCAGCTACTTCACACGCAACGGGCGAGTTGTCGAGAGGCGCACAACTACGAGGCGCTTCCCAGGAGGCGGCATTCAAACTGAGACTACGGAGCGGGACTTGGGGCCCGACGCGAGTGCGTGTTGGCTGTGTTGAACACTTAGTGCCAGCGTTGCCCCTGCGGGCTTGACAGTGCAAACTAAGGGTTTTGAAGAGCAGCGTTTTGCTCTGCGCTGTTCGTCTCAGGCGCAGGCGCTGACACTCCGAGGTCCGCGAGGGGCCCGCAAAGGCCGAGGCAGCCCAACGGCTCTTTCGACGAGTGGATGCACACGGGCTCTCAGAACAGGCCGTTCGACAGAAGAGAAACTCAACTCGCGAGTCCGCTTCAGCAGGTGCTCTTAGTTGCTCGGGAATACGCAAAGCTCACTTGGAAGCTTATAAAGCTTTCTGCACTACGCGCTATCGCGCGGGCAGTTGTCCGGTTCGTTACAAATATACTGACGCGCCGCCGCTAGTATCTACTGACGTGAACACTCGCACGAGGCGACGATACCGCTTTCTTAGAGAATACTTCCGTCGGGAGCAATTTGGTGGAAAGGGCGCGTTATTCAAGACGTGTTGATACAGCTTGGCAAATTGCAAAGAGCTGCGGAATGAGGGGGCTGCATGCTGTGGCTCCTTAGTTCCCCAGCTCAACTGCTGAATTTTAGGCACTATGAACCTGCGGTGCTCAACTGAATTGTTTTTGATACGAAAAAGTGTCCCCAAAATAGCTTGGAGGCTTGAAAGGCGTCGGAGGCGGGTGAGCCGCTGCCTAGTTTGGGGCGCTGAAGTTGCACAGGCCGCTCCGGTGTACGTACACCGCAGGCGGTTCGAGGCGGCGCAGATCTGTCACTTTCGTCTTTTCTGCTTCTTGTGGCCTCGAATCTTTTTCGCAGAATAGCGTTGATTTTTTGAAGTGTTTGTTTTGCGTTTTTGCAACTGGTTCGGAATGGCAAAATAGCTGTTGGCCTTGAAATAGAACTCCTGAATTTTTCAGCTTTCACCGAAACAGCCGCACACAATGCTCCGCAACATCCTCGCGCAGAAGAGGCACGGCAGTTTGCTGCCGCGCTCGAAAGTGGTGGAACAGAAGCGCAGGAAAGCGCAAGAGAGGACAATTGTTTCCAGGTTGAACGTAGTGAGACTTGACTTGAATTTGAAATTCAACTGAGTTCACGCGAAGTGCTGCGCAAAGGTCAAAACTATTGACCTTTTCGAAGAGCCTCTGCCTGCAGCGGCGCTCCTGGGGGTCAAGTAAGTTGCCTGCGTCCCGGGGCTGCCTGCAGCGCCGAAGAGAACTTCGCAGAAAAATCAAAGAGATCATCTTCGCCGCGAGATGTGTGGTCATTGTGTAAGAAGAAAAGACTTGTTTTCTGCGCATGCAACGAAATCGCATTCAACTCCGGCAGAACTGAAGGCGGCGTCTGCAGAGCCTACGACACGGTGCTTTCTTTTCGGACTCCGCCGAAATTCCGAAACAGCACATCTCCCTCTGCAGCAAACCACGCAGTTCCTCGCGGACCTAAACCCAGCAGCCCCATGGAAAAGTAAGAAAGTTCAAGAATGTTTTTTCAAACTTTCACTAATTTTCGACGCAGAGGTTACCACTGCGATATACCACTCAAGCAACGACACCGTCGCCGTTGTCTTCGAGCCAAACCCCGGCGGCCTCCAATGCCAAATTTTTATCGGCTCTGTAAGTTGACAAGCAGCAGCTGCCGAGAGATTTCAGAAGTTCAAAACCCTCAGGCGTTGGAAAAAGGGGAACTGAGGGCCCCCGCCATGTCCTCCGACTTCGGTAAAGAAGGCGTTTTCCGAACACCATTAGTCTTTGACGATCTAGTGCTTAATCAGCGAATGTGGTTCTGTCTCACCCTGCCTTTTTTGAATTTGACGGTAATTCTTTCTCAATCTCTTCAAGAACACCCTGGGGGACTTTTCTTGTTTTTGCAAAAAGAGGCGAACGGAGTTATTCTGGCGGCGCAGCAGGGCGACGTCCAGTCGTTTCAGTTTTGGGTATTTCTGCATTGGAATTCAAAATTGCAAAAGTGCTGCTGTTATCGACATCGACGCAACAAATAGAATCATACAAAATTCAAACTTGTCTTTGCTGTGCACGGAGAGGAGTTCGAAGGCAAGTGGCACCTCCCTCTCGGTGCTTGAGAAGCATTTCTAAGTTTTGATCAGAAGTTAGGTATTTCAAACGCACAAAGGAGACCGAAATCCCCTCAAAACACGTTATTGGACTAATAAAGGATTTCGCATGGACTTGCTGCGCTGTTCAAACCAACAAATGCAAAGTGCTTTTCCGCGTCGGTGTTCGATGTCGAAGACGGGCGACGCGTGGTAATGAGCCCCTGGCCTGCCACACTTGACTTGAAAATGGCACATGATTGTGGCAATTTGTGTTTGACCAGGCGGAAATAGACATTCCGATTGACCAGTACAGACGCGTGGAGTTTTTAGAGTAAGTGGGGCGCGCAGGGCGTGTTCTAGTTTCGCGCTACAGCGGCTCCTTCAGGCTCTTGGTCTCGAAGCTTCTATTCAAGCAGGACCGCGGTAAGCCCCGCTTAGTCCTGCGGCCGAAATGGAGACAGGTTTATTCTGGTCTCGTTCAAAACGCAGCCAGCCTGCGCGTCATAGACCTCCTAGAAGACGGCGCGAGCATTCAAGTTCCGCACACCCGCCACTCCTTTTCACCCGTCGGCTTCGTCTTCTTCGAGGTGCGCATGCGCTCCAGCTTAACAAATGCGGCGGCTGGATTCAAAGGCTGCAGGCTCCCGAGAGGATCATGGGGAAGAAGTACTTGGACCGGGTCTGCGTTCGCAGCTTGCTAGATGCGGGGCAACCCACCACATCTCGACTTCTTCAGAGAGCGCGACGATTCTTTACAATCTCGACGGACGTGGTTCAGTTCTGGATTCTCCAGAGCAACAAACTGGACACGCTGCACAGCATTCGAATAGACGGTGGGTGTGCGCGGCGAAGAAGACTTAGTCTTTCCGCGGAGTTGAACTTGCACTGGCCAGGCCTGCGGGAAGCCGGCTTGTGCCAGCAGTGCACTGAGGCGAACTTGCTGGTGGTGTGTCCTTCGCAGTTCCCGCACAGTGAGTCGCGCGCACTTGTCTTTCCGCAACCCCGTGTGCACTTCGCCGCAGAGAAGAGCGAGGCCTTTGCCCAGGGTAAGCAGCACGGCGCCGCCGCCCGCCCGCGGCCTCGCCACCTCGGCCCGCAGGCAGCGCCGACGTGGCCTTCGTGAGCGCCCTGGAGTTCCACACTGCGAAGCTTCCCGGGGGCTCGCCCAAGAGCCTCCCCGCTGTGGCGGCTGTGGGCGAGCGGCCCGACGCGCCCACCAAGCGGGGCCTCAGGGCCTCGGGGAACTCCCGACTTCTCTTCTTTTCCATGGAAGACGGCGAGTTCGTCGGCAGCGTGCCGTCGCACCTCTGCGGCGAAAACGTCGAAGTCCTGCAGCTTTCTGCGGAGAGCATGGTGGGCCAAATTCGCCGCCGGGCTCGCAGCGTCTCGTGCTTCAAATCGGTCCCTGTGCAACTTCAGGCTGTTGGCTGCGGCGACCACGCAGGTGCGAACTTCCCGCAAAGCTTTGCTGCTGCTGAGAGGCTCAGCGCGGCGCAGGCGTTGTCAGTTTGCTTCAGGCTTCCTGGGCGACGGAGGACGCAGCAGCTTCCTGGGTCGAAGTCTCGGAGGCCGCGGGCGTGCGACTCGAAGTTGGCGACTTCGCAAAGTCCCCGACTCCCCACTGCCCCCAAATTCCCCCTCAAACCCCAGTTGTGAGTCCCGAAGAACTCCATTTCCAACACAAACGCCCCAACTGCTTCCCAGCACTTGCTGAAACCCAAACGCAAGATGCCGCTCGCCCGTCGCGAGTGCGGGCTGGCCGCGGGCGAGGCCCCGGAGGATCTGAAGGAGAACTTCTCCAACTTCGAGGCTTCTTCGCGAGAAGAGGCCTCCGGCGATCTTCGCCGCAGAAGCAAACGCACTTTGCTTTCCGGCTTCGACCCTCCTGCCGACGGCAGGAAGAGGACCACGCGGCTGCTCTGAGGCCCTCCAAGTCCTGGCTGCTTCGGAAACCTCCAGTTTCAAGTCGCCTTTCGAAACTTAACGGATGCAGACTCACGCTGAGGAGTTCTCAGTCAGCTTCACTGTTGCCGCAGCTCCGCACGCAGTGCTGCCAGCGCAGACTGGGTCTGCTGCTCATCCAAACGGGGTTTGCTGGAATCTTCTACTCAACATCATGCACAGCCAGGGTTCGCAACTTTGCAGAAATGCTCCGTGTTCACTTCTTTGTCCCCGTGCTTGTCCTCTGCAACAATAAGACACAACTCGAAACTTTCCTCGACATTCAACATTGTCGCAAACACTCCGTCACCCCCACGCCTAACTAGGCTGCGCCACCGCAGAACATCCCATATTGGTGATTAATTTGGAAACATAAATAACGGAAATAAAACAACTCCGACAAAATAACCGCAGCAAAGCTCTTCAGCCCACCGTTTTCTAGGCTGCTCTCCAAGACGACTCCCGTAGGTCGTTCTTCATCAGTGAAATCTGCACAAGAGACCACCAGGACAAGACCGGAGCACAAAACAAAGATCAGTTCTCACAAAACAAAGACCAGTTCTGAATCCATTTCCTCTGCCTAATTAGTTCGGATAAAACCAAGATCAGCTCTGAATCCTTGTCTTTTGTCTGGCTCCAGCGCTGCGGAAACTGCCGAAAAAGAATTCTCTTTTTCTTTCTGCGCTGAAGACGCACTGGCGGAAATCTGCCCCCCAATGGGGTAAACATGTTGTCGCAAAGTCGTGCTGATCTTCTGCCTGCATTTGAAAGAAGACGCGCCCAGCAGCCGAGCAGCAGGCCAGAGTGAGTTGCTGCTGCGTGGCTGCTGGGGAGAGCAGCAGCAGCAGCAGCAGCAGCAGAAGCAAACCTACACAATGGAGTCGATGTACTTCTCGTCGTTGCGGTTCTCCATGTTTGTCGTCCGGATCTTCAGCTCGTAGTTCGGGCCGTAGTACCCTCGGTAGACGCAGCTCTCCGGGATTTCTGAGTCAGCGGGAGAGCCGCAGCAGACACTCGCACTCACTCGCACACAATCCCACACACGCTGGAGACAGAGCTACGCTAGCTAGCTAGCTAGCTAGCTAGCTGGCTGGCTAGCTGGAGCACTGGCTAGGTCGTTGGTTGGCTAGCTGGCAGACTAGCTAGCTGTCTGGCTGTCAACCTGGCTAGCCAGTTGTAAGGCTGGCTGGCTGTCTGGCAATCGAACTGTCCAGCAGTCCGCTGGCTAGCTGGGTGGCTAGCTGGGTGGCTAGCTGGGAGTGTGGGGGCGTTTCACTGGGGCTGAGTTGGAGGCCGAGGATGCATGCAGTCTCCTTGGCCCAGCACCTGGGGACGTTCCCCAAAGTGTAGCCGCCGCCGCCCAGGAAGATCGCGGGCACTTCCCGCCGGCAGAAGTAACGCACGGCTTCGCTGTGGCCTTTGCACACCCACCCCCAGCAGCAGCAGCAGCAGCAGCTGCAGCAGCAGCAGCGGCTCCAGCAGCAGCAGGGAGGGCAGGGGAGGGAAGGGGTGGCAGAAGCGGAAGAAGGGAAGCAGAAACAGAGATACGAGAGCTGCAGCAGCAGCAAAAGCAGCAGCAGCAGCAACAGCAAACAGACCCTCGAGCGACAAGTTGAAGCAGCCCAGGCGGTCGCCAGCAACAGAATCCGCCCCGCACTGAAACACTACAGCCTCGGGCCGGTACACTTCCATTATTTGGTCCATCACCTGCGCACACCGAACAACTGCTGCTGCTGCTGCTGCTACCGTTTCTGCTGCTGCTCCTGCTGCTACTGTTGCTACTGCTAGTGCTGCTCCTGCTGCGGTTTCTGCTGCTGCTCCTGCTGTGGTTTCTGCTGCTGCTCCTGCTGCTGTGTCTGCTGCTGCTGCTGTTTCCGCCGCTGCTGCTGCTGCTGCTGTTTCTGCTGCTGCTGCTGCTGCTGCTGCTGCTGTTCTGACCCTTTGGAAGAGGGAAGAGTACATTTGGTCGTCGATGCCCTCGTGGAGGGGCACGTTGACGCTGTAGCCCAAACCCTCTTCCAAGCCGATGTCTTCCAACGCCCCAGTGCCCGGAAAGAAGTGCCCGTACTTGTGGAACGAGCAGCACAGCACGCTGCAGCAGCAGCAGCACAGCAGCAGCAGCAGCAGCGGAAGCCCTCACGCCCGGGAGCAGCAGCCGCAGCAGCTGCAGGAGCAGCAGCGGCGGCAGCGGCTCGAGGCAGAAACTGGTTCCAAGCCCCGAACCCGCTGCGGGGTCCCTCTCCCGCAGCAGCAGCAGCAGCTGCTGCCGCTGCTGCTGCCGCACGCAGCAGCAGCCCACCGGGGGGAAGTGTAGAAGGCCTCCTCGACGCCGTCTCCGTGGTGTATGTCCACGTCGACGTAAAGGACTCGGTGTTTAAACCGCAGAAACTCCAGAGCCGCCAACACGCAGTCATTTACGTAACAGAACCCGCTCGCCTCGTGCTTCTTCCCGTGGTGCAGGCCCCCCGCCCTGCAGCAGCAGCAGCAGCAGCAGCAGCAGCAGCAGCAGCGGTAGTGGTGGTGGTAGTGCTGGTAGTGGGTTTGTTTTCGCGGGCGCGGCAGCGCGGTGTCCCTACACCTGAGGCGCCTCCCGGGTGTACGTACACCCCGACACGCCCAGGTGTACGTACACCTGGAGCTCACCAGTTGATGGCGCACTGGAACTCTCCCCTCACAACTCTTCTCGCGCCTTCAATGCTGCCTCCACTGTAGGTTTTGCAATATTCCCAAAGCCCTTCAAACACGGGACAGTCTTCTCCGATGTTGAACCGGCTTATTTGATCCACAAACGCGGGGGCCCCTGCGGGGCCCCCCCCTTGGGGGCCCCCCTGGGGGCCCCCTGGAGGCCCCCCGGGGGCCTCCTGGGCCGGCTCTTTGGCTGCTGCTGCTGCTGCGTTCCCGTTGACAGCAGCAGCAGCAGCAGCAGCAGACCCCTTGGACAGGCAGTGGGCAGCAGCGGTGACGGGGAGGCCCTGGACGGGGGCCGCGTGGTTCGCCCCCGAAGGAAACCCCACCCCAGCTGCTGCTGCTGCTGCTGCTGCTGC